TTATAGGCAAAGCTTTTAAAAGTTTTAGATACTATGTATTACTTATATGAAAAGTACATTTGTTATTTCCTCTGAACCAGTGTTTCCCAACCTTTTTTGTGCCATGCCCCCCACCCTTTCTAAAATTCTTACGCCCCCCTATGTAACATACACAATTTTTTGATATCTTTAATTTATTTGCTCCCTTGAGTAACTTTAATGATAGGTTTTAGAAAAAAATACTTGGAAATTTTTAACGAAACACAGTATTAGATTTTAAATCATATTAGGAAAAACGAAATTACAATTAATTATTTAAAAGAAAATACGTTTTCGAATAGCCCCCTTAACTATCAAATTGCCCCCTGAGGGGCGTGGGCCCCCGTTGGGAAACACTGCTCTATACCCAATTCTCAAATATACCATCGACTAGGTATTGTTAGTTTTTTCCACGAAATAGTAAAGTATTTTTAAACATAAGTTTCACAGTAACAATTCTCAATCATTATACATTTATAAACAATTTACTGAGAAAAACTGTTTAAATTCTATTTCAAGATATTATAGATTTCAACTTTCTGTAATTAAGGATGTAGGGTGATAAAAGTTAATTTCAGCTAAACGAGTATTTTAACAGCTTGTTAAATGATATTGCATTCGTACTACATCGTACATAAATATTATGGTAATGGAACAACATCGTAAAATTATCAACTAGGATAAAACAGCTTAATTATAATATGACGAAAAGTTAATAACGTTTTATTGCCATAGAGATTTTATAGTTTTACTCTTGGGACCAATTTTGGTGTCGCATACGTGATCAAAAGCTTTATTCAAATACACTTTTACAAGGAAATGCTTAGTTGCGCTAAGTAGGTTCTAACGATATAGATTGTAAAGTTCGGTGGCTAATAAAATTTTATTTTCTTTTAAATTATTTCGCACAAAGCTACAAAAGATATTTCTTAAATATTGTAGACTTTTAACAATTACGTTAATATATCAACTCAACTTAATTTAATATCTGAATATTCAGTAATTTAATTAAAGAAGCATATAAAGGCCGGCAACGCACTTCCGAGCCTTCTGGTAATGAGACTGTCCATGGGCGGCGGTATCACTTAACAGCAGGTGAGCCTCCTGCCCGTTTGCCTCCTATGCAATAAAAAAAAAAGTATTAAGTAAATTTCTTAAGTAGCTACTAAACAACTACCTTAATGAACGACTTAATTCCCATATACCTACCTAAGTTGTAAATAAAAAAAGGTTTTGAATGTAGTCAAATCTTCGGTGACTCAGCGATTCTAACTCTACTTATTAGATGAAAATGTGTTTTGAAATAATTTTGTATCATAAAATCCACCGTATGACAGCATTCCACGATATTTACGCGTCAGCCATTTGACGTGAGTTCCGCTACTCGCCACAAATTGCGCCTCGAAGCCAAATGTCTTACTACTGACGATGAAATTGCCTTCTCAGAACTTCGTGTTATAAGTTTTATATCGCAAGTAGCTCTTAAGGGAAAATTGCCCTTCGCTTCATTTCGTTTGTCATCATTGCCTTAATTTTACCTTGACTTATATCTTAAGAAACGGGAGGCATTTCACTATAATAGGTTTTTGTTCTCAATTTTTATTTAAAATCTGATATATAAAATTCTCGTGTCACAATGTTCGTTCCCGTATGGGAAGGAGTATTCCTCCGAATCGATTCTTATGAAATTTTTTATGCATATCCAGTAAGCCTGAGAATCGACTACTATATCTATCTTTCAAATCCCTAAATGTTAATTTTATAACCTCTAAATTTTTATTTTTATTTTTTAGACGAAATTGTTTGTTTTTTATTTTATGATACAGCATACAAAAATACATTACCCTTTATTGTCACCTCTATGATCAACCCCTATTTTTTATTATAGTAGATAGTTATTTTTATTTTTTTCTAGAAAAATACACATGGCAAAACGATGTTTGCTGGATCAGCTAGTTATTAATAGAATTCATCGAAAGATGAAATCTTCTGTTTTTCTATCTAGCCGTAAATGATAAGCCTATATCAAATTGTTATTAAACAAGCCCTTAGTATTATGTCCAACGACTTGTTTAAACTTAGCTACTATTCAAAAACAAAACTAAGCTTAATAGACACAAGTTAACCTAACACGAACATTCTTCGATAATTCGTTGCCCGAGGAAAGGTTCAAATGATCAAAAACAGGATGCCACAAAAAATAGTTAATTTTGCGGCCAGACGTATCATCATTCATATTTATAATGATGTGTTTTTTATACTCTTAAGGCATAAACAACATCGTAAACCGTGTCTCTGTGCGATTTCATGTAAATGAATAAAAAGTATTTAACTTATTAACTCATTGACCTAAGTTTAAGTCGCGTTAATTTATTTCACACGAGGACAAAACATTCAATACCTATTTAAACATTCTGACCATTCTTATATACTCGTATATTACGTCATGTTATTACGTAAATAGACAAAAACAAATGAATGTTTGAGACTGGAGCAATATTTAAAAATATTTATAGACAGTTAATAATCTATTAAAAAACGTTTATTTAAATATCAAATACAGCCCCTGTTGTGAAGAGCACAAGTTTTATTGTTTTTAAATTACTGAAGCATAAAGTTTTGTCTCCTGAGCCGTATCGCCCGGTGGGGTATCGGATAAAGACAATCCTACGTCAATGCCATAGACCTTTCTTCAAACCCTTTCGTAATGTTAAGAGAATTAACTGAAGGTAACGCTCCTTAAGTTACAGAACAACTATCTTAATTCTTACTTAGGTTGGAATATGAAAGAATACTTTAAATCAGTCCAGGAGTGTTTAGTGTACGAAGTTCCTTAATATTCTTTATAATATTGTGCTAGTGGTTAGATGTATGATATTCAACGAGGTCGAGAGTTCGAGAGCCGGTTGTGCAACGATAGATTTACTATGCACGCGTAATATAGGAAGAAAAACATCGCGAGGAAACCAATATGTGTTATTGCTTAAAATCTTGTCTATCTAACTCTGTATGAGTTTATTATACCATTAGAAGAAATATACATACAATATTTAGATTGACAAGACAACATATGCGTTCAAACCCTCCTGGGTGGTACTATGCCATTAGTTGAGTTAGTTCATTTAGCTTCAACAGAATAAATTGTATGATATATACCCAAGCATGGCGTAACTTAACATAGAGACGTTTCGCTTCGGGCGGCAATTTGTGAAACTGGTTCATATTTCGTTAGAGTTTTAAAGCTATGTAGAGATTGATTGCGGCAATTTACTTTTGGTAAAGTTGCTTTAACTTATAGATGTAAATAATTACATTTAGGAAATGTTAGAACAGAACAAAAAACGTATCTCTTAGTAAGTTTCCTCTGAGATCTGAATGAAAATTGGGTCTGCTTAAAAGCGTTAACACCAAGAGTCACCAGCTGATTGGCAGGGGGCAGGGGATAAGTAGTGGAGGTACGAAGGGAAAGTCTGAGTTATAAAGTAAATAAAGTAAGAACGTTAACGTGTTCCTAACTGTACAGCAAATAAAACATTTAATCATAGTTACTCTTAAGATATTAATCAATAGAAATAAATGACAAATAAATTTAATTTAAAAAAATTGTTTAATGGTAAAAATATTAATTCAAATTAATTATGTAACACAAATTTTTTTTTTAAGGGGCCCCCTTTGGGGGGTTTTCAAATTTTCTGGCCCCCCCTTTCTTTTTTTTTTTTTTTTTTTTTTAAAATAATCTCTTTTTGATCCTATTCAGGTGTATAAAATAGATTTTATTCGCCTTTAGTAAACCTCACTGTAAAACAAGAACTTTGTGCTCTGCCGCTTTACTTAACTTCGTTTTGTTGTTTTGTATTCGTTACATAATCGAATCTCTGACCCTTTTAAAAACCTTTTCGGTTAAGAGCCTGTAACCGACCACCTGTGGGTTACTCCATATACTTTAGTGATAATTGATTTTTAATGGTATGCAATCGTGAGGGAAGGCTCATTAAAAAATGTCATTTGAATGTTGAATGTATTTAAATGCTTCTAATATTCGCTTGTTTTGTTTTGTAAACTTCTTCAATCTGGAGCTTATTGGATACATTTGCGAATTTGCAAATCAATTTGCAAGTGACTTAGTCTACCTTTCACGGTAAACAATGAAACATGAATCAATCACTTATAATACACGCAAAGGGAACTTACACAGCTTTCTTATTGTGCAACAATAGTTGATTATAAAATGTAAGTGTTACGTAGAAATTATTGCCAAGTTTCGTTAACATGTAACAAGGAAGATACCTACCGAACACAGGGAATCGTATTGTGGGGGGGGGGCACTTTCTTTTTAACTAAATGTAATTTTTTATTAAAAAATAAAGTGTTTTCTTTCTCCTATTGCTATCATTTAAATTATTTGTACAATACAGATTTGGTTCTGGCCCTAGTGATCCTTTCGACAGGTACTATAATATGTTTCCCATTGGAATATATGATTCTATAGGTACTTATCGAAAATATACATATTTATGACCCCAATCGTGAAGAACACAATCCTAAAAGCCATTCCTTAAGATGTTTATCCGTAAACCACAATTTAAATTTTATGACACACATTTAATGTAAGTAATCAACGTTATTAAAGTCCTATACTAAAATACGAAGCAATAATCATATTTTACGAGATATTCACGTTTAACTTATTCAAATCTTTTTAAATAATTTACATCTGTATTTGAAATTTATTTTCATGTAATATTTCTATAACGTTAAGTTTATTGGACATTATGACTAATGGCCAGTGTAGTATTTAGGGATTATAAAATATGGTAATTTCTAAGCAGAGCCCATCTTTCGGTCAACAAGTTCTTGCATTACAACTTTAAGTTGAGCCATCTGAAAGTGAAGGTCACATTTTTTTAACAGAACGGTCACAAAACAATGCTACGTTTCAGTATATTAAGTAGAAAAAATTCATTAATAGAAAAGTCTTCAAAATGTCAACAACCGCAACGAGGCATGTCAAATCATCAAACTCAGCGAACATACTTATGTGCAAACAATGGTGGAAAGTTTGTTGGATGTATGGCGACCAAGAAAAATACTACCGACAACTCTATGGAAGAAAGAAAATCAATACAATAAACACGATTAATAAGGGACTTTTCGAAAACCCAGACGAACAAAGACCCGGCGCTCAAATCACAGAATTAACGGACGGCTTCTTCGAGGAGACGCCAGAAAGAAAAGAATGGTTCGGAGTAGAGTCAGAACCAATCTACGGCTTTGAATACGACCAAAGAAGAAAACCAATTAACTTGGATGATATTAATGAAATAACTAATAGTATAAATCTACCTCCAGGGAATAGTCGAAGCAGAGACTTACATAGTGACAATGATTTGATAGGAAAATCTTCTAGAACAGTCTGTAAGACGAAAAAGGGTCACGTGACAGAGGAAACTGAAATATCAACCGATGGTAAGACGCTATCAAATCTAAGATTTCATAGATCGACAGTAAAGAGAGCTCCGAATAAGGTGAAGGAAGTGCTTGAACCACTCAAGGAAGATGCAGTGTTGGATCAATGCGTTAGAAAAAAGTGTGTGGGCGACACTTTAACCACAACAACGACCACGCTAGTGACTGTGACGCAGCAGAAGGTGACCAGTTGCAATGAGTGAGTATTTAAAATTGTTCTTTGTTTTCTTAACCATCAACCTGTTCTCGCTAGACCTTTTAAAAAATTACATGATTTCACCCAAGAGTAGAGTAAATAGTTGTAATCTAATATTCTTATAGACTTTAACACTTAATAAATTATGCTCGGTATATTAGGGCAATATTTTGTATATTTCATAACCTCGACGTCCGTCGTTCCACAACTGAGCGGATTTTAAGTGTCGCACAACTTTGTCGAACCAACTGCCCACTGAAGTGTTTCCAAATCAATTCGACTTAGGGTCCTTTAAGAAAAGCGTACAAATTATTAAAAGGCCGGCAATGCACTTGCGAGTCCTCGGGCATTAAGAGTGTATGCTTGCCCAACGTTCTGTAAAAAAAACTATACATTTTTGTATCGAGGGTTTGGAAAGCTATTAAATAAACGTAAAGATAGTCACACATCATAAACATTAATCTGTACATTATTCTTTAGATTTTTTGCATTGCCGAAGCATCCTTACGGCTAGATCATAATCAAAGGAAGTAAATTACAATTACATATGTCATAGAGGTTTTATAACTCAATAGTGAAGTGTTCGTTTTGTTTTATCAAAGTAACCGCGCTGCGTTGTCTGGTAAAAGGAAAAAACATGGCCGCTGTCGAGAGGCGGGAACGCAGTTCCGATACTATCGCCGCTACTGTTTACATGCAATACTTTTATTCTGTTGATTGACTATTGTGAAAACTTTTTATTATTTATTATAGCGCTGTTTCTAACAATAGACAATTTAGGCAAAATAATTAAAAAGGGTTTGCGCACTAAACTACGGCAGGTGGACACAGTTTATGGATTAAATTAACGTTGTTCACATAATTTCTTATTTATTCCGGAATGTGTAAAATTATTGTTAATATATATTTTTGTTAATATCATAATACATTATTTGTGGTATGTTAAAGTACAAGAAAGTGAGATAATAAAAATAAATCCCCTTCTTTATAAAAAAAATATCAGTCACAGATACTTGGGAACTCATTAAATCGCAGTGTACATACAATATTATAGAAAATTTAAAGCTGTGCAATAAAACTGTTTTTGTCATCAATGATGAAGTCAGACAAATAAATTTCTAATTTTATATATTTGTACAAAATATGTGTAAATAATAATATCCCGCACTAACTAGTCGGGGAAATTGGGAAATTTATATATTAAAAAAAACATAGTTTCCTATAATATACACAGTTATTTATTTATTAGGTATATAAAATAGTAATTATTAATTTAATATAGCGTTCATTAAGTTGTATACTATTTAACACAAACGAATAATTCTAATAAAATCTATTGGTTTTGAACTTGAGATTAGCAAAACAAATAAACACTCTTAAGCTTTATAAAAAAAAATTTAAAGTAATTTTTGCAAAAAAAGGCATTGCCTGATGTGCTCATTGATCACTAAAATAGCTTTTTGGACAGCTTTTAATGTATATAATGCAGGTACGCCTCGGGGAATGTAACTCAAAAATTTGTGATATTCAATCATTCTAATACTCTGAAGCGTGATATTAACTATCAATCAACTTTATTAGAAGCAACTGCCATCCAGTTTATATTTAGTGTCAGACTCGCAATTAGCCCCCATGTTGGACAGAATATAAAGCAGCCAAGATTAAAAATGCAATCACCTAACAAATTACTTGTGACATATACATACATATTTCATTCAAAAAGTAAACGCAGCCGCGGGGATAAATTAGCTATTAATAAACTCGCACGCAACTTGCAGATTGCATTGATGTATTACACAGATGTTTTTAATTATCGCGCTAATAAAGCCTTGCTGATATAGATTATTTACAAACGTTCACCACATCATATATAAATCTATATATATGTGTTATAAGATATATTTTCTTAAATATATGACAATTAAGGTAAATAAATGTTACAAAAACTTAAATAATAAAAATACTATACTTCCAGTTTTATTCAAATTCAACATCATTTATTCATTTAGGTAACGTCAATAAAGTAATACATATTAAATGCTTCTAATTTTACATTTACTCTTCTCAAATCAAGGGCTTAGAACGGACGAGAAGAACTGGCAATAAACTCTCCGGCAGTCTTTTTAATCGCCAAGTTTTTTGTTTTACAAAATGTTTGTAAGGAGCTGCAACCATTACACCATATTCCACATGCAATCTTTAAGTAATTAATAATAAAAAATAAGATTTGTTCTCTACCAGCAGTAGGCATGGTGAAATAGGAGCACGCACTTACATTCTTGTGGGAACAATTTAGATTTTACTAGTAAATTTTGCTTATTGTTAAGCAAAGAAATACTAACAAAACGGATTAGGTATCAGGCACTTAAGTATGCTTTTTTTAGATAAGATCTATAGATAGAGAAAACATTGTAACTTTCAACCTTAGTTAACGAATAACATAGAGCAGTGTTGGTCTAGTGGCTTCAGCGTGCGACTCTCATCCGGACTTTCCTTCTATGTATGCATTTAACATTTGCTCGAACTGTGAAGGATACATCGTGAGGAAACCGACTTGCCTTAGACCTAAAAAGTCGACTACCCTATTAGATGTACTGAAATGATCATGAAACAGATACAGAAATCTGAGGCCCAGACCTAAAAAAAGGTTGTAGCGCCACTGATTTATTTATTTTATTTTTATAGGTTAACGGACCTTTTTTATTGACCGTTGAGTTAACTGACAAAAGTTATATTATTTGTTAGTGGTTATAGTAGTTAGTTTATTTTTATTTTGTAATTCTTCAATTGTTTTTTGTTTCGTGTGTAATTTCTTTTATTGGTTATGCATCTTGTCGATTTAGGGTCACCTGTTAAGACAGTATTGTGTTTTTTGTAAATAAATAAAAAACATGTTTGCTTTATGTATTACTAGAAAAGAGTTGTATTTTACATGATACATGTTACTAACGAATGTAGACAAAAACTACTATTCTTTTAAATACTGAAATAGTAGAAAAAATATTCCGCACATAACTATTTAAAATTAAAGCTACTGTTCATCAAAAAGAATTTTCATGAATGCAGAAATTTTGTCCAGACACAAAGAGGAATGGAGAGAACTTCGGCATCAGCAATAGGACAACTTAAGAAATATCAGATGCCCCAACATTCTCCCTTCGAAGAAAATGAAAATGAACTGGACTGGAACTACGGCAGGTGGACACAAAGATTGAAGAAATAAATAATGGATCGAAACCCAAAATTTAGATGCCGAACTTGTGCCAGATGTAGAAATGAAATTGCGATGACGACTGGCGAAAGATCCCTGGAGACAGCAAAAGATGTTTTGAAGTTATGGAATTCAAGTGAATCAAAGATATTTGTTTACTCAATTAAAAACAAAATACGTTGAATTGGTAACCTTCTTCTATTTTGAATTGGATTAAAAATAGAAATCAATATTTATTTTATATAAAAAGTTGCGGAATGTTCTCGATTGCATAATTAATATTTTCTTAATGCCATATGTAACTAATTAATATACTCCACAACTGGTAAAGTTTTTTACCCCAATCGGGTGACATTACATTGTATTTTAAAGAAATACACAGCCTGTAACGATATACATGTTGTCGTCCTTCGGAACAAACTGGCTTAGGTAGGTTTCGCCACTTCCAGGATTTAAATTATGGCTTCTGAAATGCTAAAAGCTATTTCCTGCTCTATATTTTAGCCACAATCTGACGTGGCAGTGACTATGTGTGATTAAATTCACAATAGAAAGACTATTGAATTTTTGTTTTATCTGTGTTTCATCACGTGTTTGTGAGGATTGCTTTTAACTCTACTTAAACTAGGTACTCTTACAGACCATGATTACTAAACGCTCCCAAAACATCTCGTTATGTAAATAATGTAGTTAATTTCTTTTAGTTAAATAGTTTTAATTAAACGTAAAGTACATAGTCAATGATTAAGAAATTTAAATATTAAAATACGTAACTACAACTCAAACAGGCTAGAGCAATGTTTCCCAACCTTTAGTTACTTAGGCGAAAATTTATGAGAGTGAAATTTATTGGCGCGCCCCAATGACACAAAATTGGGAGTGTGATTATAGCGTGGCGAGCGAGATAGAATAAGACAATCTACAAGTAAAAAGAAATAGTTATGCGGTGAAGTTCTATGCCAAGAATTTTGAATGACCATAATGACATTTGTCATTTACCTTTTAAACAAATAAAGGAGTTTTGATTATTTTTCAAAAAAAATTTATTAATTTTTATATTGTGCAATACTGCCAAAGCTACAACATACTTCTTAGATGTTTGGTAGAGATGTTCTAAATATATAATTTTTTTTTTTTTTTTCTAAATAGAATTTAGTTACTTAATGTAAGAGATAATAATAAATAATAATTATTTATTTAATTTTTGAAGTAAACTGAACTTAATTGACTATAATGACTTTTTTTCCAGTCTTTGATTATTTAATTGTAATTAATTATTTGCATGCAATCAAAAACTATTTTTAATAATGCCAAAGAAGTATAACTTCTTACGCGCCTACATAAGTACACGCACCCTTTTTTTGTACCATGCCCTACCTATATTTTAAAATATAATGAAAAACTCAATTTCCAAATGAATTATTTAAAAAGAAAATTAAATTTTCGAATCCTCCTTAATAATCAAATTGGCCCCCTGTGGGTATTGCAAGTTCCGCGCGCGACGTTGGGATACACTGGGCTAGATTGTATGCGAAAGAGAATAAGCCTGGCAGTGATGCGAACTTATAAAATTATGTATTTGCTACGTACGTGTCATTTTATTTATCAACAAAAACTTTGAATTTATTTCATTTTGTCTTGAAATTTTGTAATTTACCACTGTAGCGACCTCGAATCCTAAGAAGGATCTTCCGCACAGACTCTAGGTACTATCTCTTTATAGCAAACCACTAAGCGAGTCGCTGCTTTGAATTAAATGTAGAGTTTATAACTATAGAGAATTTCAGTGAATAAAT